CAAGCTGATAAGACCAAGGCTCTTAGCAGAAAGCGGTGACGTAACAAATTCTTTACGCTTCGCGTATCCCCACCAGCCCATCTCAAAACAGCAACCCTTGCGAAGCATGCCGACAGTCGTGTTTTTCAGGCGTGTTTCCGCCTGCCCCCGCATATCTCCCCTGTTCCTCCTTCCTCCCGCCTCCTTGTACATCCTCCTTGTGGTGGGAGCGGGAGAAGGACGAGGCGGAGGAGGAGGGAGAGAAAGCGCTCCTCGTGGTTTGAGTCGTTTGGGGTTTCTTGTCCTGGTGTGAGTCGTTCGGGCCCTTCTTCCTGGTGTGAATCGTTCGGGCTCTTCGTGATGTGAGTCGTTCGGGCTCTTCGTCCTGGTGTGAGTCGTTCGGGCTTCTCGTGGTGTGAGTTGTTCGGGCCCCTCGTCGTCGTGTGAGTCGTTCGGGCCCCTCCTCCTGGTGTGACTCGTTCGGGCTCCTCGTGGTGTGAGTCGTTCGGGGCCCTCGTCGTGGTGTGAGTCGTTTTGGGAGCCTCTTGGAGGCCTTTTGGGGCGTCTTCGGGGCCTCTTGGCGGCCCCAGGGGCTTCTAGGAGCGTCTTGGTTGCCTTGGGGGAGCCTCTTCGGGCCTCTTGGGAGCCTCTTGGAGGCCGTTTGGGGCGTCTTGGGGGCCTCTTGGCGGCTCCAGGGGCTTCCAGGAGCGTCTTGGGTGCCTCGGAGGAGCCTCTTGGGGCCTCTTGGGAGCCTCTTGGGGGCCTCTTGGGGGCCTCTTGGAGGCCTCTTGGGGCCTCTTGGGACTCTTTGGGAGGGGTCTGGGAGGAATCTTGGGGCCATCTTTCGGGCGATCGATCACAGATGGGGCGGGTTTTTTCTCCCCCCCCCCGTCGGGGCCAGAATCCTCGTGAGGGGTGTCGTTTTTTAGCCCTCCCAGGAGTCGAAAAAGACCCCTCCAACCACCCGCGAAAGGACCTCTCCAGGTCCAGGGGGAGGGGGTAGGGGGAGGGGTAAACCCCTCCCCGAAGGGGAAGAAGGGGGTTGAGAACAGAGCGGGCTCTCTAAACCACTCACGCCCAAAGGGCTGGTGGGATTCCTGACACCAAGGCCCAGCCAAGGCTCAGGAACGGGCGGCAACGCAACAATCTCTGAACACCAAGGCTCCCAAGAGCGAGGGGTGACGTAACAAGCTCTCAACGCCAAGGCTCCCAGTTCGACCGGTGGTGTGCGTCATTTCGGTTTCCGTTGCTGCAGCGTACTTTCCGTTTCCGTGCCGTCCCAGGTAACGGAAAGAGCGAGGTATGAGTGATGACGTTCTGGTGTGGGCGAAGCCCTTAAGGGGGGGTTCCAGGCCGAGCAAATGGGTTTAATGGCCGTTTTCGAGTTTTCCCTGGGGTTTTGCATGTTTTTCGGGTTCTCCCCGTTTCCGTCCCAGAAGGGCCCTAGACGGCCCAAGAGGCCCCAAAGATCGTCCCAAGAGGCCTCCAAGACGCCCCAAGAGGCGCCCAAGAGGCGCCCCAACAGGCCCCTCAGAGGCCAAAATCATAATTTTCCTAGAGGAAAAGGTACATTTTTTAGCATATGCGGCTTTTCGGCTTTCACAAAGTTGACGACGGCCCAAGAGGCCCTAAGACCGCCCCACGACGGCCCAAGAGAAGAGGCTCCCAAGAGGCCCCCACAACGGCCCAAGAGGGCCCCAAGACGGCCCAAGAGGCGCCCAAGACGGCCCAAGACGGCCCAAGACGGCCCCAAGAGGGGGACCACGAACCGAAAAGTCTAGCATTTCGCCCCAAGATGCTCCCAGGAGGCCCCTAGAGCCCCCCAAGAAGCCCCAAGAGGCCCCCAGGAGGCGTCCCAAGAGGCCACCAAGAGGCCAAACTCATTAATTTTCCCAGGGGAAAAGGTACATTTTCAGCATACACGGCTTTTCGGCTTTCACTGCGTAGAAGACGCTCCAAGAGGCCCCCAAGACCGCCCCAAGACGGCCCAAGAGGCTCCCCCAGACGGCCCAGGAGGCGCCCAAGACGGCCCAAGATGGCCCCAAGACGGCCCCTAAGAGGGGGACCACGAACCGAAAGGTCTAGCCTATCGCCCCAAGAAGCTTCCGGGAGGCCCCCAGAGCCCCCCAAGAAGCCCCAAGAGGCCCCCAAGAGGTCCCCAAGACGCCTCCAAAACGGCTCCAAAAGGGCCCCGATAGAACTCCCAAGAAGACCCAGAGACGCCAAATAGAGAGCGATCGGTAACGCAAAAAGCTCTTCACACCAAGGCTCCCAAGAGCGAACGGTGACGTAAACAAGCTGATAAGACCAAGGCTCCCAGCAGAGAGCGGTGACGTAACAAGTTCCTGACACCAAGGCCTAGCCAAGGCTCAGGAACGGGCGGCAAGGCAACAATCTCTGAACACCAAGGCTCCCAAGAGCGAGGGGTGACGTAACAAGCTCTCAACGCCAAGGCTCCCAGTACGAACGGTGGTGTGAGTAATTTTGGTTTCTGTTTCTGAAGCGCTCTTTCCTTTTCTGTGCCCGGCCAGGTAGCGGAAAAAGCGAGGTACGAGCGATGACGTTGTGTTTTGGGCGAAGCCCCTTAAAGGGGGTTCCAGGGGGGTGCGTAGCGGGAGCGGATGGACTCTAATGGCCGTTTTCTGGTTTTCCCTAGGGTTTTTGCATGTTTTTTTTCGGATTCTCCTTCAAGACGGCCCAAGAGCGCTCCAAGAGAGCCCAAGACCGCCCAAGACGGCCCAAGAGGCGCCCAAGAGGGCCCAAGAGGGCCCCAAGACGGCCCCGAGGGGGGGGAACACGAACCGCAAAGTCTAGCCTATCGTTCCAAGACGCTCCAGGGAGGTCCCCACAGCCCCCAAGAGGCCACCAAGGCGTCCCACGAGGCCAACAGGAGGCCCAAATCGTTGATTTTTCCATAGGAAAACGTACATTTTAGCATACACGGCTTTTCGGCTTTCACGGCGCTGACGACGGCCCAAGAGGCCCCCAAGACCGCACCACGACGGTCCAAGAGGCTCCCAAGAGGCCCCCCACAACAGCCCAAGAGGGCCCCAGACGACCCAAGAGGCGCCCAAGACGGCCCAAGAGGGCCCCAAGACGGCCCCAAGAGGGGAACCTGAACCCGACAGTCTAATTAGCCTTTCGCCCCAAGACGCTCCCGGGAGGTCCCCAGAGCCCCCAAGAAGCCCCAAGAGGCCCCCAGGAAACCCCCAAGACGCCTCCAAAAGGGCTCTACAAGGGCCCCAATAGGACTCCCAAGAAGACCCAGAGACGCCCAATAAAGAGCGATCGGTAACGCAAAAAGCTCTTCACACCAAGGCTCCCAAGAGCGAACGGTGACGTGCACAAGCTGATAAGACCAAGGCTCCCAGCAGAGAGCGGTGACGTAACAAGCTGACACCAAGGCCCAGCTAAGGCTCAGGAACGGGCGGCAACGCAACCATCTCTGAACACCACGGCTCCCACGAGCGAGGGGTGACGTAACAAGCTCTCAACGCCAAGGCTCCCGGTACGAACGGTGGTGTGAGTCATGTCGGTTTCTGTTGCTGCAGCGCTTTTTCCATTTCTGTGCGGGGCCAGGTAACGGAAAGAGCGAGGTACGAGTGATGACGTTCTGGTATGGGCGAAGCCCCTTAGGGGGAGTGCAGATTGGGGCGAGGGTTGCCCAACTGCGTGTTAATAGCCGTTTTCGGGTTTTCCCTCGGGTTTTTGCATGTTTTTCGGGTTCCCCCCCAAGACGGCCCAAGAGCGCTCCAAGAGAGCCCAAGACGCCCCAAGACGCCCCAAGAGGCCCCCAAGAGGCTCCCAAGAGGCCCCCAAAACGGCCCAAGAGGGCGCCAAGACAGAGGCGCCCAAGAGGGCCCAAGAGGGCCCCAAGACGGCCCCGAGGGGGGGGGAACACGAACCGCAAAGTCTAGCCTTTCGCCCCAAGAAGCTCCCAGGAGGCCCCCAGAGCCCCCCAAGAAGCCCCAAGAGGCCCCCAAGAGGTTCCCAAGAGGCCTCCAAAAGGGCCCGACAAGAGCCCCAATAGGACTCCCAAGACCAAGAGCGAACGGTGACGTAAACAAGCTGATAAGACCAAGGCTCCCAGCAGAGAGCGGTGATGTAACAAGTTCCTGACACCTAGGCCCAGCCAAGGCTCAGGAACGGGCGGCAACGCAACAATCTCTGAACACCAAGGCTCCCAAGAGCGAGGGGTGACGTAACAAGCTCTCAACGCCAAGGCTCCCAGTACGAACGGTGGTGTGAGTAATTTCGGTTTCTGTTTCTGAAGCGCTCTTTCCTTTTCTGTGCCCGGCCAGGTCTAGTGGCCTTTGGCCCATCCCGCCACCGTGCCTGGGTTGTAGAGCAGAGGCCTCCCGGATGCATGCGAGGACTTCTTGGGAGGCCTCTCAGATGCCCTTTGGAGTCGGTTTTGGGGTTGGGGTGTCTTGGGGGCCTCTTCGGGCCTGAGTTGGGCCTCTCAGGCCCTCTTGCGGGCCTCTTGGGGGCCTCTTGGGCCTCTTGGGCGCACCTCGGGGGCTTGTGGGGGGATCTTGGGGCCATTTTGGGGCGGAGGGCTCAAAATGTCAGTTCGTATTTCCCATCTTGGGCCTCCCTTGGGGCCGTCTTGGAGGCGGAGGCTCTTGGGCCGTTATTGGGCGATCTTGAGCGCCCCTTGGGCCGTCTTGGACGCTCTGAAGACCGAAAAAGCGGTAATTCGAAAACCATTCAAAAACCGGTGGATTTTGCCGATTTTGGCCTTTTCGGCCTCCCTCCAGGGCCTCCAAGTCGGCCCAAGAGGCGCCCAAGAGGGCTCCAGGACGAGAGGGGGGCGGGAGCGAGCGAGCGAGGGACGGATGGCTGGAGGGAGCGACGGGGAGGGCTCGACCGAAGAAGGGCAGGCGAGAGGCCCGTGGGGCGAACGGGAGCGAGGGAGCGAGGGTGCGAGTGAGCGAGGGTGCGAGCGAGCGAGGGAGTGCGGGCCAGAGGGAGGGCTCGCCCTCCTCCCCCCCGCTGCCGCTGCAGCGCCCTCCCTTCAGGAGGACCGGCCTTCGCCGCTCGTGTCGGTGGGCCCCCGCCGCCGCTCTCGCCGCCCTCCTCGGCCCAGCCCGCCGCCGACCCCACCTGCAGGGCCCCTCCTCGTCCTCGTGCTCCGTGGCCGTGGGGGCTGGCGCGCTCGTCCGTGGCGCCCCGCGCGGCACCTTCGTGCGACCCGCGTGCCGCGCCCCCGCTGCTGGTGCTCACGGCTGCTGCCCCTCACAGAGCCTGCGCAGAGCTTGCGCGCCGTGTGGCTGTCCGCCCGCCCGTCCGTCTGCCTGCCCACGCCTCCCAGATGGGGTCCGAGCCGATGGGGTCGGAGGATCGCGCCGCACCGCTGATGCATCGGCGATGCGGCTCGATCCAGATCTTTCTGGCCCCGATTTCGCCGGAATCATCGCCGGCGCATCGACGATGCAGTGTGATCATTCTTCCCTCTCTGCCCTGACCCCATCTGGTCGGCCTCTAGTCCTTCTTCCCAGATCTCTGAGCCGCGGTGCTTAGAACTTCTTAGCTCGGGGACGCGTCGACCATCACCGTCCTTGGTCTGCCCGCTCTCTTGCTTGACAACTCGTCCACCCGCTTCAATGTCCCGTCCTCCAGGCCCGCCCGCTGATGCTGCCGCTCCTTCACTCGTGCCCGTTCCTACCCTTTCCCGCCCATTTTCACGCAGTCCATTCCTCCGCCATTCTCACACCTCCTTTCGCTTCTTCCCTGCTCGTTCCCACTCCGCCCCTCTCATCTCTTTATTGTTGGTCGATGCTGTTGTGTATTTTCTTCACTATTTCACACTTCTCCCCGCTCAACCTTACTATTCTGCCTTCTTCCACGCTCTGCAGTCACCCCGACAGGCTCGCTCCCCCGCGCGCTCCCCCAGCTCCTTCCCAGTCCTCCCTTCTTTCCTCCATTCCGCTCCAATCCACTTCACTGCACTGCCACTTCAATGCACTGCCACTTCACTCCACTCCACTCCACTCCACTCCACTCCGCTCCGCTCCACTCCACTCCACTCCACTCCACTCCACTCCACTCCACTCCACTCCACTCCACTCCACTCCACTCCACTCCACTCCTCTCCACTCCACTCCACTCCACTCCACTCCACTCCACTCCACTCCACTCCACTCCACTCCACTCCAGTTTGCTCTTCCGCATCTCCAGGCACCCCACCGCGCACTCCTCCCGTTTCCTCCCCACTCCATTCCTCCGCTTTCCTCCACCCTCTTCGCCCGACCCCGGGTCCTGGGCCCCGGGTCCCAGCGACTCGAAGTCCTGGCTTTAGTCTTCCAACCCTCAGGGACGGCCAAGAGGAGGGTGATGACCAGGGGGGATGGATATCATGGCCTTGGCCATGAGATCTCCCCAGGTCTCAGGCTCCCCTCTTCTTCTTCTTCGTCTTCTTCTTCTTCTTCTTCTTTTTCTTCTTCTTCTTCTTCTTCTTTTTTCGTCTTCTGCGTATTCCAGTGCATCCCCTGGTCTCCCCTCGTCCGCGCACATGCTTCGGGCCATGATTTGCGACCCCCCCCTCTTGCAAGCCCCCTTTTTGACGCCCCCGAAACCGTCCCTACCAGCATGTCGAGCCCGCGATGTCCGCCTGTGAAAGTGTAAGGCTCTGGTGTCGGTGCGGCCGTCGCAGTCATGCGCGAATGCATCACGAAAGCAGCCCAGGCTTCCGTATTTCCCCCCTTCTCTCCCTTCCTTCGCTCCCTCCCTTCTCTCCCTTCCCCTTCTTTCCCTCCTCTCCCTTTCTCCTCTCCTTCCTCCTGCTCCCCACCCCTTCCGTCCTCCTCCTCCTCTCCACGAGTCCAGCGCTCGTTTCGTCTCTCTGTCTCTTCTCTCCTTCCTACTTCTGCCTTCCCCTCCCCCTCCTCCTCCTCTTCCTCCTCCTCCTCCTCTTCCTCCCCTCCTCCTCCTCCTCCTCCCCTCCTCCGCCGCCTCCTCCTCCTCCTGCTTTTGTTGTTTGGAAGCAGAGGTGGCTGCCACAAGGTATGCAGTATGCAGAGGTGGCTGCCATAAGATGCCAACAGCCGTCCTTGCAACAGGCTCTGGTCCCAGAAGGTTCGCCCTCCCAACCTTCACGAGCACCGGCTTCAAGGATGGGAGAGCCCACGTGTCCCACCTGACTCATCAGGGTTATGACTACCCTCAAAGGCATCAGCAATACACTATACTCCTGCTCTTCCTCCTCCTCCTCCACCTTCACCTCCACCTCCTCCTCCTCCTCCTCCTCCTCCTCCTCCTTCTGCTCCTCCTCCTCCCCTCCAGCGACTCGTCAAGGCTCTAACCACCACTTTCCTTTCCCCCCCCCCGCGGCCCGGCGCAGGTTCCGCTGGCGGCCGTGCAGTCCTGGGCGTCCGTCTCGCACGCCGGCCCAGTTCCACAGGCGGCCCCCTCTCGCCTCTGCCTTCGTCGTCCCCTCCCTCCCCGTCTTCCCCTCCTCGCTCCCTCACCCCTCGCTCCCTCCCTCCCTCCTGCCTCCTCCTCCTGCCTCCTCCTCCTCCTCCTCCTCCTCCTCCCGCTCCCTCTTTTCCTCCACCCTCGTCCCTTCTTTGTCTGCTGCTGCTCCTCCTCTTCTTTATCCTGGCAAGCCTGTGTGCCTGGTTGTGTGCCTGATCGGTGTGGTGGGAACCTTCTTGGGCCTGGCCGTGCATGGCGTCACGAGAAGCTTTGGCATGGGCGTCCTTCGCAGACCCAGGCTATTCAAGAGGTTGCTGACGAGTTCTTCTAGTACTCGGCCCTTGCCCTCAAGAACGTGGGCAAGTATGGGTGCTCCAGGGGCATGCGCAAAGGCAAGGGCAAGCAGAAGCGACCGAGCTGTGCCTTTGGCCGTGCGCTTTCCCCCCCCCAGTTCCTTCCCTCGCAGCTGTGACGTGGGATCGGGCTGGATTTTGGCCTGCCTGGCGGACGACTCCACATGAAGTCCCCTGAATTTTTGTCTCCAAGTTGGGTCGGCGGGTTTTTGTCGGGATCAGTTTGACGTTTCGGTCGGCCCCGCCTCGTCTGTCTCCTGGACCCTCGTTCTTGCGCGCTTTTCGTTCCCGTCTCGGCTCCCACGTCGGCGTCTGTGCCGTTCTGTTCAGTGGGGTCAGGACTGGACGCGAGTCGTCCACGTAGCCCCATTTCATCCTCCCTCCTCCCTCCACCCCTGCCCTCCTCCTGCTCCTCCTCCCTCCTCGCTCCCTTCATCCCTCCTGCTCCTGCTCGTCTTGGGCGCGAGGGTCTGACCTCACGACTGGTGGAGCTGGGTCTTCCTGGAGGCCGTCCCCGGGGGGCCTTGGGGCCCAGAACCAACAAAAGAGAACAGCGCCCAATACTGGGCCGGCCTTCTTTTGTGTGGGTGGACCGTTGGTGCCCTTCTGGGGGGAATGAGGAGGAGGAGGAGGAGGAGGAGGAGGAGGAGGAGGAGGAGGAGGAGGAGGAGGAGGACGAGGAGGAGGAGGAGGAGGAGGAGGAGGAGGAGAGAAAACCCAAGGTGCATCAGACACCCTCCTTTTCCAAGTCTTCTGATCGTGAGTCCCTGCAAGCGTTCCCCTACACTTCGGAAGGTTTTCCTTGAAGGACGAGTGCCCCTGTAGGCCTTCCATTCAAGCGATAGTTCCATGCTCACATGCTCACACCTCGCATGATGAAACCTGGAAGCGCCTCAAGCGAGGGCCTCCTTCTGAGAAGTGACCAAGCTAGTGTTGCACAACTTTCCATATGAGAGCAAAACGTGAAGACCTAGCAAGCTAGAGCTCCGTTTTGAAGAGAAGCCGGTTTCCATCCATGTATACATATTTCGGGGAACTGGGTCCGGGGGCCCCTGGGCCAGAACCCCGACCAAAAATGGGTGGACAGGGTCTCCCCGCGCACATTGCGGGAGCCCCAAGTCGACGCCGAGGGTGCTTAGACAGCTGTCAAGACGATCCACGGCGGCCTCGAGTCGTCACAAGACGGCCTCCAGACGTTTCAGACCGCTCACTCAGCGCCTCCAGCGGCCTCAATTGCCTCCAAGATGCCCCAGGAGTGCTCCAGGAGGCCCTAGAAGACGGCTCTGGGAGGCCAACATCGTTTATTTTGCTGAGGTTTTCGAAGGTTTTTGCAGGCCTGCCTTTTCGGACTTCGACGGCCCAAGACGGCCCAGGAGGCGCCACAGGTCGCCTCAAGACGGCCAATATGCCTCCAAGAAAGCCCCAGGAAGGCCCACGAGAGCTCCAAGATAGCCCAAGAGGGTCCCAAGACGGCCCCAGAAAGTCCCGGGACGGCTCGGGAGAATCCCAAGAGGGCCCCAAGAGAGCCCCAAGAGCACCTCCGGAGGTCCCCAAGAGAGCTCCAGGACGGTCAAAGCACCCTCAGACGGCCCAGAAGAGCCCCAGGACGGCCCAAGAGAGCTTCAAGAGGACCCCAAAGGCCCCGAGGAGGCCAACAACATTGATTTCTCTTTACTTTTGGATGATATTTGAGGTTTTCGCCTTTTCGGTCTGCCCATGCCCCCAAGACGTCCCGAAGGCGCAAGTTCGTCGATTTTCTTCGAGTGCTTGGGAGTATTCTGGCATTCTCACGTCTTCGGGCCCCCGGCAACCCAGAACGGCCCCGGGGGCTTTCAGGATAGCCCGAACAGAGAGCCGAAAAGGACGCCTACCACGCCGGTGTCGTTCCGGGGCGGAGTGTGTGCGCGTCCGATGGTGCTCGCCTTGCTTCTTCCTTCGCTCGCTCGCATCGGCAAGGGTAGGCGGGGCCCCTGGTTCCAGATCGCTGTTTCTCTGGACGGGATACTCCAGTGAAGACCCATGCCAAGAAACATCCTGTTTGCCTCCAAGGTACCCTGGGTTTTGTGGGTTTCGATGGTTTTACGATCGAAAGTGTGACACTCCCACACCAGAATCAATGGAGGTCCTGGGGTCTCAGGGTTGGGTTTCTTTTGGAAGGTATCATGTGGTCGAGCTCCTACTGTAAACCATATCAGCCGACCCCTTGTTTGTAGTTCGTTTCCCATGTTTTTTTGGGGGCGTCCGTGAAGTTTTTTAACGTGTTCTGCGGATGCGACTTAGTTTTTTCGTTGGTTGGGTCGTACGAGGCGTGCCTGCCGTTTTTCGAAGAGAAAATGGGAGATGTCGGAACCACAGAAGAAACTCAACGCAGCAGGGGAGAGGAGACTGTGCCGGAATTGCGCAGAGGTGGGAGAAGTTGACGCGAAAGGCAAACAATTTCTAACGGAAAGCAGATGCGGAAACGAAGCCGCTGACGTGCTGCAGCGCCACCCCAACATACTTGTACTATATGTGCGTCGCCGCCCCAGGGGCGACGCCCGCACCGAGAAATCTTAAAGTATATGCGTCGTGGCGGGCGCTTTCTGGCCACACCGCTCGGGAAACGATATACTACAAGATGGGTATACTATATGTTCGGGTCGGACGCGCGTCTCCAAGGAAGACATATAGTACTAGTATGTCTTTGTGCGTCCCATGCTGTGCGCCAGGTTGCGGGGTGATTTTTGAGACACTGGTCATTTGAACCAGAACCAGGTGAAGGATCATCAGACGGCGACAACCACCACCCACCAAACCACCCCAACCCAACCTGAAGGCTCAGATTTACCCTCGATTTCCAGTGTGGGGGGGTTCGGGAACATCAAAAAAACACGTATGGAGCCCATCCCCCCCCCAACCCGAAATTCGGGTCTTCGGGTTGGGTTGGGGTGGTCTGGTAGGTAGTCAGTCATTTGAACCAGAACCAGGTGAAGGATCATCAGGCGGCGGCAGAGACCCGTGCGCGGCAGGCCCGCGAAGGGGTAGTGGCCGATGCGGCGCAGCGACTGGAGCGAGATCTGACGTGCGCGGCGCGCCGGCTGAGATTTCCGCGGCAGGGCCGAACGGAGGAGGAGGAAGAGGAGGAAATGGAGGAGGAGGATGAGGAGGAGGAGGAGCAGGAGGAGGAGGAGGAGGGGGAGGAGGGGGTGGAGGAGGAGGAGGCCGCATCAGTAGCGCGCAGGAAACGGAACATCTGACGAGGAGAGTGAAAGCAGTGCGCGCGGATTGCAAAGACCTTGGTTTCGCGGCGCGCAGTTGGCAGGCGTATCGGTGCAGCGGCATGTGCGAGAGAGCACTTCCGAAGTCGGCGTTTTCCGTGAGGCCTGGCAATGCTGTGCGCGATGTGAACACAGGCACCCTGAAGTGTAAGGCGCGCAACTGATGTCGATTCGGGCGCCCGTGCCGTGGTCCGTGGAATCATAACCAGAAGGGGGAGGGCGCGCAGGAGAGCGAAGTCGACGGGGAGGAGGAAATTGAGAAGGGGGAGGCGCAGAAGGACGAAGGGGGGAGAGAGTGGAGGGGGAGGAGGCGGAGGAGGAGGAAGTGGGAGAAGAAGAGGAGGAGGAGGAGGAACAGGAGGAGAAATACACATAATAATAATATTACTAATAATACTATTAATAATAGTATTATGATTAATAATAGCAATAATAAGACTACCAACAATAATAATCATAATGGTAATAATAGTATTATCAGTCATAATACTAATACTATTACGAATAATACTACTACTACTAATAATATGAATGATACCACTAATAATAATAGTAATGATGATGATAATCGTAATAATAGTAATAATAAAAATAGTAACAATACTAATACTACTACTACTACTACTACTAATAATAATAATACTACTAATAATAATAATAAGAATAAGTCATAATACTAATAATAATACTAATAATACTAATAATAATAGTAATGATAATACTAATAATGATAATAATAATGATAATGATATGCATAATAATACTAATAATAATACTAAACAGGATCTTGTGTTGGGACCTCAACTAGGGTTTCGGGGGCCGTCGGGGCGATTCCAGCGCCGCCGCAACGCATGTGTGAACCTGGGACTTCGAGACCCTGTGCAGACGCCCTGGCTGTGGGTCACAGTCTCAGGGATGCGTCGTGGCGTTTCGTCGGAACGCTTTCGGGATGCCAACGCAGTGTGAGAGACCCGCGGGGTGCTCGTTGGGATCGTTGCATTTTCCGGGGCTGGCATTCGCAGTGTTTGCCGTGCGCGCATGATTATCGAATGGCGTGCGGTGTATCCCCCCACCGTGCGTGGCATGTGGGCGTGAGGTTTACTCGGGTGGTTGATAGGGCTTCGTTGGAGGTCTTCCAAGAACATGGGTGCTTCTTGGTGCCTTTCTCCGCGCCTTTCCTGGGGCCTTCATGGGCCGTATTGTTGTTATGTCCAGTCCGGGCCGTTGTGGAGCTCTCGTGGGGAGCTCTGGGCCTTCTCGCACGTTGCGAGAAGCCAAAGAGCGAGTATGTTCAACACATACGTATTCCGAAGGGAACGGGGGACCTTTCGGGGCCTCCCGGGGGGCCTTTTCGAGGCCACGTGGGGCGTTTTGGAGGCACCTTGGGCCGTCTGGATGTCACCGTCGGCGTCTTGACGTGATTTTTCTGCGATTCGGGCCCTCGTGGGCCGCCTTGAGGGCCTCTGGAGGCCTTTTTGGCCTGTGGCGGGGCCCTCGGCGCCCCCATGACGCGTTCACCTGGGGGTCGTCGGCGGTCGGGGGGGGGTCGAATTCCCGGTTTGGGGTCCCAAGGGGGAAAAGGGGGAACAATCGCACACGCTTTGAGGCGCACAATGGGTCGGCGGATTTGCTTGGGGATCGCGCTGTCGTTTGAGATTTCCAGCAAGTCATGCAGGACTCACGCGTCAGCATCGCGCCTTCTCGACATGTGCGTGGCTCCTTCGAAGAGGCAGCGGACATGTCGGAAACACAACAAAACACCGTGCAACGGGGGGGAGGTTTTGTCGGAAATGCGCGGAGGAGCGCGAGAAGATGACGCGCGAATCGAACAATCGCAAACTGGAAGCAGATGCGACAGCGGAGCCGCTGACGTGCTGCGCGCCAGGATGCGGGGTGTCTTTATGGGAGGTTGGTCATTTGAACTTTCGCCAAGTGGAGGACCACCGCCAGGAGAGGAAGACTTCAATAATGATCTGCGGAACATGTCACGAAAGGGGGCGTAGCCGCGAAGGAAATAGCCGACGCGACGAAGTGGTGTGAGAGTGATCTGACCTGCGTGTCGTACGTGGTGGACAAGCATCGGTGGACGAAGCACACGCGCGTGGTGTGCGCGGGTTGCGCGAGCCGTGGTTTCACGGCGCGCAATGGACAGTCCTATCAATGCATTGATACGTGCCAACAGAGACTGCCGAAATCGGCGTTCTCATTGACGGGCGAACATGTCGCGCGAATCGTGCAGGCGATGCCCGTTCGGGTGACCATGGCAGACATGGGTTCTGCAGCGGCGCTACGCGGAGCGAAGTCCGCGGAAGGAAAACTTCGAAACATGGCGACAGGGATGACGACGATTCTGAGAAGGATGGGTGCGGACAGGAGGATGGGTCGGAGGAGGAGGAGGAGGGTGATGGGGAAATGGAGGAGGAGGAGGAGGAGGAGGAGGAGGAGGAGGAGGAGGAAAACGAGGGCGACGGCGCCGCCGACGACGACACCGACGCCGACGGCCGCGCCGAAGCCGACGCAGACGGCGTCGACGACGATGGCGACGGCGCCCCCCTGGCGCGGCGGAGGCCTACCCGGGCATCGGCGCCCCCGAGGCGGCCACCGATGCCGCAGGGCAGGCGGGTGACCCCACGCAGTCGGCGGTGCCACCGTCCTCGTCGCCCCCCTCCCCCCCGCTGCTGCTGCTGCTGCTGCTGCTGTTGCCCCTCCTCCTCCCGCTTCAGCTCCTCTCTCCGCGCCTCTCCTGCCTCTCCCCCCTCCTCTTCCCCTTTTTCTTCTGCCCCTCCTCTTTCTCCTTCTCCCCTCCTCGTCCTTCCCGTCCTCTCGCCTCCCTGATTGTCCTGCTACTGTACTGCTCCTCCTGCTCCTCTTGCGTTCCCTCCCTTCCCTCCTGCTGTTCCTCCTTTGGCCACTGCTCCTCCTCTTCCTTCTGCTATTGCTACTCCTTCTCCTGCTCCGCTGGCGCTGTCGCTGCCATTCCCTTCCCCTGCCGAGTGTCTCAGTGCAGGTCCTTGCAGGATGTGCTGGCAGGTGCGTTCCAGGTTACCTCGGGTCTTGGCGGAGGGGGACGACGGCGAGGAAGAGCAGAGGGAAAAGGGGTTTGGAGGAGGAGGAGGAGGAGGAGGAGGACGAGGAGGAGGAGGAGGAGGAGGAGGAGGAGGAGAGGATGGATATCTTTAGTTTTGCATGCTCCGCTCTCTTTGAGCTACTGGTCGTCGCTCTCGCTGGATTCGTTCCGAAATTCTGCTAAGTGCGCTCCTGGACAGGTCCAGGAATCGTGCTTTGGGGTCTCTCGGGTCCTCTTGTGGGGCGGGGCAGCCTGGACGTCTCTTAGGGCCGAGGGCTCGAAATGCCCCTTCGGCTTCCTCCTTCTGGGCCCCCTCTTGGGACCGTCCTGGGGCTCTCTCTGTCCGTCTTGGAGGCCTTTGAGGCCGTCTTGAGGCCCTCTTGGGCCGTGGTGGGGTTCTCGTGGAGGCCTCTTAGGCCGTCTTGGGGCGATCTTGGGGGTCTCTGGGGCGGTTTTTGGTGGCTCTCTCGGAGGCTTAAAGGGCCGTCTTGGAGCGATCTTAGGGGCTCCTTGGGCCATCTCAGAGCGTCGGCGGCGAAAAGGTGAGAACGCTGAAAACCTTGAAAAACCAATTGAAACTCGTTGAATTTGCCTCTAGGTGGCTTCTTGGGAGTGGTCTTGGAGGCATCTTCGGGCGTCTTGGAGGCGGTTGAAGCCGTTTGGAGGCTGCCTTGGGCATTTTGGAACGACTTTTGGTGACTCTGGGCCCTCTTAGACCGCTCCAGGGACCCCCAGGGGCAGCCACGCGCGTGCGAACTAGAAATATTCTAAAGCTGTAGCCAGAGATTTTGGCACGCCTTTGGCCCGTTTGGCCGGCGACTTATCGCTCCTCCCGACGAGACTCGTCAGGTATGAGTCTTTGCTGAAGATGCGCGCAGTTTCGTCCTGTGGGAGGACAATCATCACCACCACCATCGTCACCACCACCATCGTCAGCATCATCGTCATCATCGGAACCACTAACAACATAGACAACATTACCATCACCGTCATCACCATCATCACCGTATTCTCTCTCGTCGAATCTTGTCTTGTACTGCTCGAGAGCGTCGTCGGTTGCAAACGCGAGTTTGTCGCACCGCAGGCAGCGGAGGCTGAGCGTCGACCCAGGGAACCACCTTTCACCATCGACCCTGGGATCAATGCCAAGGCCGCTGCTTGTCTGACCCTGCTGTGCTGGTACACGCCTGTTTCCGCGGCGTGTAGAGGAGGATACATATGAGAAGAGGATGATGATGATGATGATGATGATGATGATGATGATGATGATGATGATGCTGCTCATGCTGATGCTGCTGCATATGATGATGATGACGACGATGATGATGATGCTGATGATTCTGATGATGATGATGATGATGATGATGAGGATGAGGATAAGGATGGGGATGCTGGGGATGATGCTGATGATGATGCTGATGCTGCTGATGATGATGCTGCTGCTGCTGATGATGATGATGACGATGCTGATTATGATGATGCTGCTGATGATGATGATGATGGTGGTGGTATCGGTGACGATGATGCTGATTCTGATGCTGCTGATGCTGCTGATGATGACGATGACGATGGTGGTGATGGTGGTCATGATAGTGATGATGATGATGATGATGGTGGTGGTGGTGGTGGTGGTGGTGATGGTGGTCATGATAGTGATGATGAATCTGATGATGCTGATGATGATGCTTATGACGATGATGATGATGATGATGATGATGATGATGATGATGATGATGATGATGATGATGATGCTGCTGATGATGATGATGATGATGATACTGATGATGCTGCTGCTGATGATGATGATGATGATGATGATGATGATGGTGCTGCTGCTGATGCTGCTGATGATGCTGATGATGATGATGATGATGATGATGGTGATGGTGGTGGTGACGGTGGTGGTGATGATGATGATGATGATGATGATGATGCTGCTGCTGATGATGATGATGATGATGATGATGGTGGTGGTGGTGGTGGTGATGATGGTGGTGAGTTGCTGCTGATGATGATACTGCTGCTGCTGCTGCTGATGATGAGGAGGAGGAGGAGGAGGAGGAGGAGGAGGAGGAGGAGGAGGAGCGGGAGGTGCAGGAGGACGCGGACTGGGCACGTTTGCAGGACCTCCGATTCGCCAAGTGCTGTGGGCCGATGTGCCACTAGGTTGGGAGGTGGATGCCCCGAGTATGATGCGGGATAAGGAAGAGGATGTTGGTGAGGAGGAGGATGATGAGGAGGAGGAGGAGTACGAATCGGAGTTTGATGACAAGTAGAAGTGATAGAAGGACCAACAGTATCATGAGTACTAGTAGCAGTGGCAGTGGCAGTGGCAGTGGCAGTTGCAGTGGCAGTGGCAGTGGCAGTGGCAGTGGCGGTGGCAGTGACGTTGTGCAGTATCCTGACGACAGGCCCCACCAAAGCCTTGTGACGGGCGGGCCGAAGAGTGGCGCCCTCGGTTTGGGTCCCATCACTCTGTGGGGTTCGCGTATGATGGGTGCGCCGAAGTGGGCGGGGGGACAGCATGCGCCTGTGCCCACTGAGACCGTGGGCGAAGGTCCCTACGGGGCCACGAAGCGTGTGAGGGGTGCGCCGAACTGGGCGGGGTGGCCCCGTGCGTCCGGGCCCCCCGAGACCGTACATAGGCTGAGCACCGTATGCGGCCACGAAGCGTGTGTGAGGAGTGCGCCGACGAGAACGATGATGATGCCAGACATGGGAGATGATGAGGAGTGAAGGCGAGCACAAGGCGAGGACCCAGGAGCACATAATGGTTTATTGGAGCACATGAGGAAGGAGAGGATACTCAAGGCGTTGCGGATTCAAAACGAGCACCCAGCAGCACATGATGGTTGGGGAAGCCTTGCGACGTCAGAGTTCTGGGTCCCTCCTCCCTCATAGTTCTGGATCCCTCCTCCCTCCTGCTCCCTCCTCCCTCCTGCTCTTTCCTTCAGCGCCCCCTCCTCCTGTTCCCCCTTCCTTGTCCTTTCCCCTTCGCTGCCTTCCTCCCCATATAGTTTGTCCCTGAGCGATCGTGGCCTCGGGAGCTTGGGCTTGTTTTTTACCAGCGATCGTGGCCCTAGGAGCGTGGATCCACTGTATTTCTGCATATCCCAGGTACCCAGCGATTCCGAGAGCGCGGTTCGGGGACACCGACGAAGCCCGTGCCAGGCCCAGCGGGTCGCGCGCGCTTAGAACTCTGCCTTCACCAGCTGATAAACTACCAATTCTGAGCTTTGAGCCCGGATGGATGATCGCAGAATTCATAGCCGCAGACTTGTACGGGCTACGTGCTAAGACTATTCAGTGGTGCGCAGTGCTCACTCACGAGCATCTCCACGCGTGCGTAAGCTTCTGGCTGTGGCCCGCGAACGCTGCTCTTCGAGCAGGGGGCCGCGGCGGCCGATAGCTCCGCTCCCTCATCCTCGTTGAGCCTCGGTGCTGGTTGTGTCAGCGCGTACGTCGTCCCATCTTGGAGACAGCTGGGGGGCTGAGGTGGGCTATCATTGGTTCTAGCCGTCCGACAGGGGGAAAGGCACCTCTGTGCACGGGTTTCGTTCCCTGTCCCCCTTGGGCCGCCTTCTCCAGATGGATGCCGAAGCTGTCCCCTTCACCATGCTGACTGCTTTTGCTGGCGCCCAGCCGGAGCAGAGCCCACAGCCGCCAACACCCATCAGCTCCGTCGCCGCGCTTTTTCTGCCTCGGCGCGGGCCCCCCCCGGACTCTAGGCCCCATCACTTCGGCGCGCGCTCTTCGCCGCAGGCCGCTTGCTGATGCCCCCCCCCAGGCTCCGAAGCCGTCGCCTGGAGGCTGACGTTGAGAGGGCTGACCCCTGCCGTGATCTGCTGGTTGCGGCGTCAGGAGGTTTGGGTCACGAGCACTCTCGTGCCGCCTCTCCTCTCCAGGCTTCACAGGTGGGGGCCGAGTGGATGTGGTCGGAGGATCGCGCTGCATCGCCGAGGCATCTGCGCTGCGGCTGGATGTGAAGCCCGATCTTCTCCACGCAGACGGCGCCGATGCATCGCCGACGTCTCCGATGCGCGGTGCGATCCTTCGACGCCATCTACTCGGACCCCGTCTGGGAGGCCTCTCTCCTCGCCGCCCCCCCCTGCATCGCCCGCCGCCCGCCTCCCCGCGAGGTCGCGCTGTGGGAGGGCGAGCCCTGCTCCCTGGAGGCCGCCCCTCCCTGGTCCTCTTAAACGTGCGCGGGAGCAGCCACTGCCGCTGGGCCGAGGGGACCTCGCCCCTCTGGCGCTCCCCTCCCCCGAGGCCGGCCTCCATCCCCAAGCGGTGATGACATGCGCGCGGCGCCCGAACTCGGGCGCCGTGCGCCGGTCATTGCCGCTGGGGGGTCGGGGTCGGCGGTGGTGACCGCTCCTGCTCTGCTCCCGGTCCTGGTCCGCGTCTCGAGGGTCTCAAAGCGCTACAAACAGAACTTCCGGAGGCCCGCGCTTTTTTTTCCGGTCGGCGCAGGACCACCGGGTGGCGCGGGCGCTCGCGCGCCAGAGGTGAGGGGGCGCTAGCGGTGCCTCCAGCGCCGCCTTCGCCGACCCGATGGATCCGCGCGGACCCCGAAAGTTTTTTGTTTATGCCGTTTTTGCACCTCCCCTGCGTTGAGGATCATGTTTTGACAGAGCGCTCTGGTCTCCATCCCGTCCTCCTCCCGCTTATCTCCGTCGCTGCCTCCTACCTCCATTATACCTCGCCCTTCCTGAATGCTTTGAACTGCGAACTTGTCGCCATTTTCGTGGTCTTCTGGGAGGCCCAGCGAAGTGACATCAATCCAGATCAGACTTAGACCTCGCCCTCTGTGTGCTGCGAACTGCGAAGCCGTCGCCGGTGTCTCCTGGGAGGCCCAGCGGAGTGACGTTATACACGTATCAGAATTTTTGACTCGAGTAATCTCACCAGCACACTCAGCAACGATGCCCAGGCGAATTGCATTGATCAGGGACGTGTGGCACCACGCAGTGGAACGAAAAGGGGGGGGCAGCCGCCAATTCGAATATCGGGATCAGCTTGAGCAGGCCTAGGAGGCAAGTATAAGTGCCTTCGCACAATTTTCGATCTGGGAGCCTCTTGGCAGTTACATTGGCCTTCTTGGGGCCGTTTCGGATGGGGCTTCCTGCAGCCATCTTAGGGCCTTCTTGGGGCCTCTGGGGGGCCTCCGGGGGAGCCATCTTCGATGCCAGCGATGGAAGAAGGAGATGTTCTTAATGTCAGTTTCCCCGTCGGAGGCCTAAATGTTGCCTCCTGGAGCCCTCTTGGGGCGGCGCTCTCGGGCGGCTCTTGGGCGCTCTTGGGGCCGTCTCGGAGTTTTTCTGGGCCCCTCTTGGAGCTCTCATGAGCGATCTTGGGTTGTCTTGAGGCGTCAAGAGCCCATCCGAGGCGAAAATGTGAGAACGTAGCCTTTGGAACCGATCCATCCCCCGTTTCGGCGAAGCTATTATTGTCCGCCCGTGGAAGTGATGTTCTGCCCCAAAAACCCCCACCAAGGTCATAATAGGGCCCCAACGAGACCCCAATCCAACTCCACTAGGATTCTTGCAGGATTCCTGAGGGATTCTCGAGGGTTCTTGAGGACCTGAGAGTATTCCTGAAGATTCTGGAGGATTTCAAAATGATCTTGGAGGATTCCTGAGAATTTCAGCCGCATTTCGGAGGATTCCTGCATGATGCCTGCATGATTCCTTTATTTCGGAGGATTCCCGAGGATTCTTGGAAAATGCTTGAGGATTTCTGAAGAATTCCTGAACGATTCCTATAGGATTCCTAAGAAGGGTCCCGGAAGGATTCCAGAAGATTCTTGAGAGATCTTTAGGATTCCTGAGGATTTTCGAGGATTCCAGAAGATTCCTGATGATGTCGGAAGGATCCTGGGAGGATTCTGGAGCCATTCCAGAAGGATTCTTGAAAGATTCCTGAGAGATTTTTTGGCTTCCTGAAAATTGTTGAGAATTTCTGACTATTCTTGGAGATCCAGAAAGATTCCTATGGGTTCTTTAGGATCCTGTACAACTTCGGAAGTTTCTGCGGGATCTCAAGATGATTCCTGAAGGATTCTTGACGGTTTGCGGTTGTCATGCATATGTCAGCCTCTCCTCCTCCTCCTTCGCCTCCGTCCCACCTCCCTTGTGTGCCGCCGTTGTGGTTCACAAGGGCCCTTCAGTCATCTGGAGCGCAGGCGAGGGGCGCGCCCTGGGCCCCGTAAAAGGAAAAAGGACGTGCTTTCTTATAGCACGGGTCCCCGTACTTGTGCTTCGTGTCTCTCTTTGTGTTCCATACAGTTACTCCCGTGCGTTCCACAGTGGCAGCGGAGCGCGTGGTTCCGATCCACGAGGGGAGTCACGCCGACTCCCCTGCCATTCGACGCTCGGGTGACATATGCCATGTTCTTCTCCGGTTCTTCCCGCTTCCCACCCTCTTGCGCCGAGCGCCGCCGTGGACCATCCAGTCGACGCTGTGCCTTTCGAAGACGAACTTCTGAATGATCCTTTGGAACCAGGACACGATCTTTGGGCAAGAGGCGGAGGACGAGAAGACGCTCCCTGTGACGGTGATGACGAAGTGGGCTGGGCAGATGAAGACCGGGCCCGCTGGCTCTCGCAGCCCAGGACGGATGCACAGCCCATTTTGCAGTCATCCTCACCAGGTTGGAACGCGTGGGGCCGTGGCTCGCCGGCTGCGCCAGCTTGGTTGAACGCGCCTCTTTGGGGACAGGCTACGCCGTTCACTCCGACATATTGGGGAGACGCTACTGCCAGATCTTCTGATCGGCAGAGGGGGCAATTTCCGGAACAATCGGATGCCCCAAAGATACGAAGCGACTTACTTCCCACCTGGGATGGAAAAGAGCAGGATTTTCGTTTAGATCCTTACATGGAGGAGCTGCAGATGTGGCATAAGAAAACCAGAGCCCTGAAGAGACAACGTGGATATATCATTTGCCGCTGCGCCAGAGATGGCCAACATATTTTCATCAACGAGCTCACCGAATACCAGCTGTCTTCGGAGGATAGCGGGCACGTTGTGGTCAAACATAGGATGAAGGCTTTCGCCGAATACCAAGACGGCAGAATGCCGACAGCTTTCGAAAAGCTCTTCTGTACTGACGACGCCAAGCGTAAGCGAAACGATTCCGTCAATTATATTGCTCGCAATCGAGTGCTCTTCCGAGAACTCGAGAAGCAGGTGATCCTACTGGGGGAATTGAAAGGGTGCGTGTTTCTCAGAGAATCCAAGTTCAGTGAAGCCGCCTGGGATGCGGTTGAGCATTGGACTGAGGTATCTTATGACTTTGACCTGGTGTGTGAGGATGCTTCGGAAGCTTGAACGACCGCTGCCCTCAGGTAAAGGCGGCGTGTCTATGGAACGGGTTCCGCCTAACCTATCGTCGAGTTCCAAGGAGATGAGGGCGGATATGGTGACCGGGGGTCTGACCGTGATGATTTTCATTGGTTTCTCATGGGGCAGTCTTTGATTCCCTTTCCCGAGTCCTCCGAGGAAGACGACGTCCTGACTGAGGTTCTCAGGTGCATGGGCGACAAGCGCGTATTTTCGTAGTTGGAGTCGCGCTCGAGGATGTGATTTTGGATGAAGACGAGGCTGTCGCCATCTACGCCAACTACAGTTAGGTGCGACAATACTGACGCAAGTGGAAGCTCGGACGAGGCATCCTCCGACAGTTTCCTCCGAAAGGCAGGTCCAAAGGCTCCCGCGAGGGGCGGCGTCGAGGGGGGCAGACTGGACATGGTCGACCGAAGCGTTGGGCCAACAGTGCTTGATAATCCACTGTATGTGCGCCCGACGTGGGAAGATGGGGCACTGGGCTCGGGGCCGCGCGAACGGCCCAGACGAGCGAGGGTGCGACCGGCTAGCTGGCTGCGGCGGTGTCCAGGCTGTCTTTCTCGGAGCAGATGGCGCTCTGCGCGGCGCGTGTCGGCGAGAAACGTGCGACCCTATTTGGAATTACTTTTTTTTTGCCTCTGCTATCTTTGCTGCTGCCGACGTGGGTGAACAGACTTTCATCGGGCCGCTGGCCCACGTGGGTTTCGGCCTGGTGGGCGCTAGAACTCAGCGCGGAGTCTGTGGCGAAGATCAGCTTGCGAGCTGGTTTTGATGTCCTGGGTATATCTATGGCTTGAAGCCAGTGCAGATGCCGACTCTTGAAATGGGCGCCATGGGCGTTGGGGGATCGACCAAGTTTCTCTCCAGCTGGACCTTGCCGGTTGCTTCGGCAAAAGAATTGCGGTGCTCTCGCGGATCATCTGATTGCCTGCCATGTGCCCCGTGCTGCTTCCAGTGGAGATGATCGGGCAGCTCGGCGCGGCTTTGTTACTTGCCAGGTGGCGCTATCGTTTGGAAGGCGCTCGGCGGCAGTCAATCGAGGGTGCGTGAGGTAGGGGCAGGCAGACGCATTGTGGTCAAAATCTTTCTTTTCCCAACGATGGTTGGCAGAGAATGAGCGTCGTCGCAGTCCCGCAGACACCTCGTGCGACATTGGCCCGCGCGGCGCACGTCCTCGCCGAGAAGGGGCCGCGGCCAGAACCTCAGATCGCCGGCAGATCCAGCCAGCCTCTGGCCCCGGAGAGGCGGGCGTGGCAACGGTGCAAATTGTGCCTGAAGCTACTCGCCATCCTGGACCACGTGGCCATGAATCGCCGCGCGGAGGCGCGCATTTGTGCGATCACTTACAAGAACCTGCTCGGGGGCGCCTGAAGTCTGGACAACGAGGCTGCGCCATCCACGCCTCGGACCCGCGACCAGAGACCTTTCGCTTGAGTTCTGAAGGTCTCCAGCGGGGAGTGGTTCGCGGTGGGCAAAAGGCTTGGGCCGAGCGGCATGGGCACCGAGAAGACCGATCAGGCCATCTGCAAGCATTCCGAGAAGGCCATGGGCCACCGGGGCAACGCCGGGACCCTCTGGACGTGCGACGATTGCCAGATGCGCTGGGCGAGTCTCTCTGTCTGCCACCAGAAAGGCGTGGCGTTCGGGATGTGTGCGGGCTGCGCCTTCAAGGAGATCTACGAGATGGACTTCCCGCGCTGTGCGCAGTGCGTGAAGACTCATGTGTCAGGCGAACCCGTGACGCATCGCGGACTCGCGCGCATGGCAACGCGAGGTGCGCGAGGGCACCATGGACAGGGGCGGTTTCGAGGCGATCGTGGAGGAGAGC